CTCTACCAGTCCCGGGCTCTTCTTCCATTTGCGGGGCCCCCTCTTAGTGAGTCCCCTGCCCTTCTGCAGCTGGGGACAGGGGCTTGAACAAGGGGTCGGGTGGAGCGTCCCCGAGAAGAAGGAAGCTAGCGAGGCCTGGAGGAGGGGCAGGAGCGACGGACCTGGGGGACGAGACCCCTCGCGAGCCTTTCTGGTCATCTTCCCTGCCGCCCCGCCCCTGCGCGCACTCCCTCCCGGGCGAGCTACTTTCGGACGAGAAAAGTGAGCGCGGCCCTCGGTGACAGCACTGCGGGGCCAGTCCCGGGAAGCTGCACGTCCGCCCGGTCTCCTCCAGCACACTGCCAGCCAGGGGCGCCGCCAGGACCAGGATGGCTTCCACCACCACCTGCACCAGGTTCACGGACGAGTACCAGCTTTTCGAGGAGCTCGGAAAGTAAGCGCCTTTGCCCGGCATCTCCTGTCCCCTTTCCGGCAGAGGGCGGGTCGCGTTGCCCCCTACCCACTGGCCTCCACCATTGGGCGAAGGAGTTTGGGGGACCCAAGGAGAGGGAAGAAACCCCTGGTCTTTTAGCTCCGGCTGCCGAGGGCAGAGGAGGGGAAAGACCCCTATCCCTACAGGGACCCATCCTCCTAGTCCTGAGCCTGGCACCACCCCCCACCCCCCATTTCCCACTGTTCAGGAAAGACTTTGTGAATTTATGATCTCTGCAGTTGTAGCTGTCATCCTGAGAAGTGTGTGTGGTGTGTGTGAGTGCTTGCGCGCACGCTTGCATGCTCGTGTGTGTGTGTGTGTGTAACAAGAATCCATGTAAAATGCAACATAGATCATGTTTTCTGTAAATAGAGATGCCTCCGGGTTAGCCGACCCAGGAGCGGATGAGAACTCACTGCCACAGACGGGGCCATATTTACTGATGCCGAAAGTTCAACTTGGCGTAGTCTATTTGCATCTAGTAGTTGTTCTGTCCAGGAAAGGGGCCACCCATTGGAATCCAGCCCCCTGCCCCATATCCACTGTTAGTCTTTGCACTAGATTGCTTGAACGCCTTCAACCTTCTCAGGATTTACTTGTGCATCTTCGCATTCGTAAGGAGGAGTTAATTCCAAGGGATTCGGGAAAGCCTGCTGGAGACCCAGAGAGCACTTCCCAAGGATAGCCTGGCTTTGTGCAAAACAGCCTCCTACCCCAGACTGCAATAACTACTTGAATATGTTCAGGAAGGGGGCAGGAAGCCTACTGAGTCTTCTATAAAGGGACCTGGAGGCCGAGCCCTCGATGTTGATTTATGTAGCAGCGAACCAATTCCTCTGTCGCTACTTTCCACTATGAGGAAAGGGTATATGTGGCTGGCTTATTATCTACATTTGAATTGAAGAAAGTGTACATTTAAATGTAATGAAAACTCCTGCTGTATTGTCTGTTGTTAAAAACATGGAGAATATGTTGGAAGAGCAGCTTAATCCAAATCTCTCCCCTCCCCCAGCCCAGAAGAAGACACAGAAATCATCCTGCCAGGATTTGTTCAATCACCCACATTTGCTCAAGCTTAATATTTTAATCAATTACCATATTTACTTAATTGGAGCCACATTATTTCCCCCCACTACCTAACAAATAGGCAGCAGAGTGTTTGTTGCCGTTCCTCCTCAGCTCAGCTCTTTGCAGGGTTATCTCAGAGCACTTGGCTCTGTGTGAGTATGAATTATAAAATGTTTTCAGATTTCATGTGCAAACAGGAGCTATCGGATTTGACAGTTCCTATCATGTTGTTGATGAATTATGTGGGCTCTCCCTTAAATAAAATTGAAAGACGGTTTGGGTTTCCAGGAAGAATTGTTCATTTTTTTGGATACTTACTGTAGTGCACTGACATTTGGCCATCACTAAAATCAGTAACAATGCTCAGATTGTTGACATATTTTCTCTATGGGGAGAGGATCAGAACTGATTATACTCATGACTCCACTCCTTCATTATTCGTTTTCAGGGGAGCATTCTCTGTGGTGAGAAGATGTATGAAAATCCCTTCTGGACAAGAATACGCTGCCAAAATTATCAACACCAAAAAGCTTTCTGCTAGGGGTGGGTATTTTCAACCACATATATGTAATTTTGTACGTGTCCTGTTGATTGTTGGTTCTGTTGTACGTAAATTTATCATATGGTTATAATGGAATTGTAGATTTAGGTATCATTTATTGGAGTTGTTTTCTTCTTGGATGACTCTAGGTTTATACACTTTTAAAATAAATGAACAAATATAATTGATATTAATTAATAAATTATTACTAAAAGTCTATTTGTCCTATGAGCAGCAGCAAGCAGCATTATTAATCATACTTTAAAGCTAAAACAATAAATGCCACTAAGCCCATTTTGCCTTCAGTTCTGATGTGAAATAAGTTTCAGAAGGACCCTGGAATGGAAAAACATTATAGAAGTTTCACAATTGTCATAATTCTCTTTTGCTTTTGAGAGAAAAAAATAGGTCATAGCTCAGTTGAATCATCATATATTTCCCTTGTAATTACACTTGAACTTGATTCACTGAGGCATATTTAACAGTAACTGTAAATTATGGTTGCTATATTCTAGGAAATTCAGATTGATTCTGGTGTTTTTGTGTACATTTCAGGCCTTTATTTAGTTGTCTGCATTGACTCTTCCCACAGACTCATGTAATGCATTTTGCATATGCAGTTTGTAGCCAGAGAGATAATTCATAGTCATGAAATAGCTGTTGACAAAAGCAAAAACCACCCCAAACCTGGAGTGACCTTAAGGGGATCTTTCTATTTTGCCACACTTATGTGAAAACACTTACAGTCAAACAGCAGTCCCAGTATTATGGGCACATGTCCACAGTATTTTCACTGGAATTATGGTTTGGCAAAATTAAAATGAACAGAGTGTCATCGTGTAAAGCCCATTTCAGTGACCTGGTTTATTTTAAGGAATGGAAAGACAGATTCCATGATTTTACATGTTTTTAAGAAGGACTGCTTTGGTCATTACCTTTGTTCTCTGCCGTGATTAGTTTTCCTGTATTGCAAATTCCTTCAACTTGTACTTTGAATTTAGGTAGCCATTCTGTGTATTCTTCCAGATTGTATTTTGTTTTAGTTTACCTAATCTGATTTTAATATGATGGTGAGAAAGATCTTTATGGAAAATGTACAGCCACTGAGGAACCGTGCTATGAGAACTGAGAATCACTGTAGCCTCAGTTATCTTTCCTTGATCTCTACTCCACAAGAATAGACTTCAACAAGGAGTAGCTAAAGTATAAATGCCATTTTAGGTTTTTTTTAAAGAGAAGAAAAATGAAAGTTTCAGTTAAATTGTTTCCATGCTTGTATTACTTCTGCCTGTGCTGGTACTTTTAACAAGACTGGGGAATGTCAATTCTTTAGAGGGCATCCCAACACTTTTCTGGGTCTTTAATTGACTTTAAATTTTCTCTAAAAACAAATCAGTCATGAGTAATTTAAATGGCAAATCCTTGGAAATTTAAAAGTAATTCCTATGATTCAGAGTCATCTTCCATTATCCAAATTCATATTCTTTATACCAGAACTGGAATGACCAACTGAAAGAGCTGTATACCTATAGCGATTCCAAAGAAAGATGATCCAAGCAATTGCGGCAAGTATAGAGTACTACTACTATGAATCTCACTCACAGGTACCATTATGCTGAAGAGCATTTGAAATCAGTTGTAGTAGTACATCAACAAGGAACTGTTAAAAAGTCAAGCAGAGTCAGAAGTGGGCATGCAATGACAGATAACATTGCTGATGTCAGATGGATCGTGGTTAAAAGCAGAAAGATGTTTGCCTATGTTTTATTCACAGTACAAAGACCTTTGACTAGGTGGATCATAGTAGATTATGGATAACACCGTGAAGATTGGGAATTGCAGAACAGTTTGTTGTGCTCAGGCAGAACCTGAGCATAGACTGAAAGTCCCTTCTTCAATATGAACTGATCACGAAAGACATGGGCCAGAGTTATATCCTTTTACCATCTGTATTCAGTCTTTGTTGGGCAAATAATTCAGGAAGCGGATCCACTTGGAGGAGAGGATTGGAGGAAGACATTAATAGCTTGCAGTAGGCAGATAGAGATAATTCAACCCTGCTAGCTGAAAATGAAAAGGAATTGAAGCACTTACTGATGAAGATCAAAAAGAAAGAAATATTCCCAACTAGATTAATAAATGGAAATAAAGCTAGAAATTACCAAGGATTTAATTTTGCTTGAATCCACAATCAACCCCTATGGAAGCACCAGGAAAGAAATCAAATGATACATTACACTGAGTAAATCTACTACAAAAAGCTTTAAAAAGCAAAGAGGTCATTTTGAGGCCTAAAGAGCTCATGACTGAAAGGTCAGCAGTTCAGAACCACCATCTGCTCCTTGGGAGAAAGATGAGGCTTTCTACTACTGTGAAGACTTACAGACTCAGAAACCCACAGAGGTAGTTCTACCCAGGTCTGTAGGGTGGCTATGAGTCAGAATTGACTCAATGGCAGTGACAGTGAGTTTGAGTTTTATACATGTGAATGCTGGTTGATAAACAAGGAAGACCAAAGAAGAATTGACATCTTTGAATTATGAAGCTAATGAAGAATATTAAATATACTGTTTACTACCTGAAAAAAATGAAGCCGTCTACTCCTGTAAAGAGTTACGGTCTTGGGAACTCACAGGGGGCAGTTCTAGCCTAGAGGTTTGCCATGACTCAGAATTGACTTAGTGGCAGTGAGTTTGAGGTTTTGGCATGAAAAATGACCAATTCTGTCTTGAAAGAAGAACATACAGCCCCAAATACTCCTTAGAACCAAGTATGGTGAAATTTCATCTCATGTGCTTTGGCCATGTTATCAGGACAGACCAGTCACTGGAGAAAGGACATGCTCGGTAAAGTAGAGGGTCAGGGAAAAAGAAGAAGACCCTCAGGGAGGTAGATTGATCCAGTGGTTGTAACCAATTTGAAATGGAAGAGGACTGGATAGTGTTTTGTTCAGTTGGCTGCTGTGAGTTGGAACTAACTTGATGGAATCTAGCCACAAGAAAAATAATAGCAGACCTCAAACATATTTGTCCCTTCTCTTATACTTTTTGCTGTCGTCTGCAAAAGGCATCAAAGAGACTGGGAGGAAATGGAATTAAAAAATAATGGATTTTTTCCCAGGAACTCAGTTGAAACTCTTCCCTTTACTTCCCCAGATGGAGGATAAGTCGTCTCTGGGCTGGTGGAATTCCTTTTCTTCTCCACTCAGCCAGTGTTTTTCACAAGCCCACACTCAAAAGGACCAGATAGACTGAGGTTTCTAACTGGTTCCTGTTTTAATGATTCTAATGATTCTGACTACACGTAGGAAAAGTAGCTAGGATGGAGAGTTAAAAAACAGGGTTCTTGTTCTTCCTTTGCAATAGTCTTTCCGTGTGACCTCTCAATATTAACTTTTCCAAGAAGGTGGTGGTAAGCATATCGTTGGTGCTTGAGCCACATATGCTTGGTTTGAATTCTCTCTGTCAGCTGTGTGATATTGGGCCTTTACCTGTGTTCTTCGAGCCTCAATTTTCCCTTCTGTATAATGGGACGCTAATATGAGCCATCATGACGTAGTAGTTACAGGTTGAGCTGCTAACTGGAAGGTCAGCAGTTTGAAACCACCAGCTGCTCCATGGGAGAAAGACAGGGCTTTCTACTCCCATAAAAAGTTACAATCTCTGAAATCCACCTGGGCAATTCTGCCCTGTCCTGTAGGGTTGCTACGAGTCAGAATTGACTTGATGGTAGTGACTATCGTGTAATATGACCCTTCATTATAGAGTATTGTGAGGAATGCATGAGTTCATTTAGTGTAGAACAGATCCTGCCATGTAATATTTAATTCCATCAATATTAGCTGCTATTATTATCCAGTAGGGTTGTTGTTAGGATCAATTGAGGTTGTTGATATGGAAGAAATGGAAAACTTGTAAATCTAATGGTAGCTTCAGTTTGTCTGGGAGAACCTGATTTGAATCTTTGCCCCATTATGTGGTGTGTAATACTACATAATGAGTGTTTAATCACTCATCTTTTCTGTCTTGGCTTCTTAGTAAAACAGGAAAGAGTAAAACAGTGGAGTCTTTGGAGTATTCCAAGAATTTCATAAAGCTTTTATTCATTTACAAAATCCTGTCAATTTTACTATTGTTGCTGCTTACCTGTAAAATAATATATTTATTTCAAAATACTCAATAGCTTCATTTGATATCCTCATAGCAATTAGAATTGGTTTTAGCACATCTGTACCTTTGATTGTGTATGTGTTTAATCTGGACTCAAATGATAGATTTTTTAAAATCACTTTATTGGGGGCTTGTACACTCTTATCACAATCCATACATCCATCATTGTGTCAAGCACATTTGTACATTTGTTGCCATCATCATTCTCAAAACATTTGCTTTCTGCTTGAGCCCTTGGTATCAGCTCCTCATTTCCCCCCCTTCTTCCTTCACCCTCTCTCCCTCATGAACTGTTGTTAATTTATAAATTATTATTATTTTTCCATGTCTTACACTGTCCAATGTCTCCCTTTACCCACTTTTCTGTTGTCCATCTTCCAGGGAGGGGATTATATGTAGATCATTGTGATCGTCCCCCCCCCTTCTCCCCCACTTTCCCTCCATTCTTCTGGTTTCTCTACTCAAATGATAGATTCTTAAATGCAAATGGATCAAGCTTCCACAATTTAACATTCAACATTGAGGATATAGAAAGGCTTCAGTATAGAAAGACTGTGATCAAATGTGGTTATCAAATCATTTATAAAAGACTTAAGTACCTAGTTTACATATAAGAATCTATTGAGAACAAATGTTTTAAAATAAGAATTCTTTAAAAATTCTCAGAATACAATGATAAAAAAAAACGTTTTATGGAAAACTTATGAAAGACATTAATGTATTGAAAAGGAAATACATTGATATGCAAAATTTCATGGTTATTTGTTTTAAGATGCCAATTTTTTACTTCATATGGAAATTTCTGTGAAACATATAATATTTTGGTTTCTTTT